CAATTTATTGGAGATATATCATATAACATGCATAGGGAATTAATCATGGCTACAAGCACATATTAATTCAGCTAGAAAATAATATAATTTAAAGCTAATCATGAATTATCTTCGATTGGTATAAACCATCTACCTATTTACCTTACTCTAGGGTGTAGCATGGTCTATCTTTTCTAGGTATAAACCATCAAATCTCTAATATTATATTTAGATAAATACCATTGTGTAATTATCTCATTCCCAACTATAAGAAGTGAATGAGTTGTGTTCAATCACAAGATTAAAATATCTAAGACAAGATAGAAAAATATTTGTAATTGAATTAAAACTTTAAAACCGATTCTTATTGAAAAATTCAATTAAAAACCCTACAGATTATACAATCATGCATGATAAAAATTGTTCTCCAATAATTAAATACAATCAAACCAGTGTACTAAACTAGGGCTACATCATACCACTAGTAAAGCGTTTAGCCAAGCATGACTGGAGTGAAATTCTTCATGGTTGAGGAAGACATCTTCACCGCCATGAATTGATCCATTCATTCTTCTGAATGCTCCTCTCTGATCTCAGCCTCAAGCTCCTTTGTCTGATGATTCAATGTTGTAGAGGACCCCTTCTAAATAATAAAAGATCAGCTCTAAAGTTCCCTTTTTCATATCGAAGACATAATAGAAATTCTGTCAAATAAGGACTCCAAAATTCGTACAGACTTCCAAGCCAATTTTGATAAGGTAAACAGCTGTTTTAGGGAATCCTTATGAAATACACAATTGTATCTCTTCGAATTTCCTTTCAACTTACGCAAGAATTTAACTGTTTTGACACTCGAGGAGAGAGATACAGCCAGAGTTCCAAAACGGGTTCAAGTTACCAACTTTGGCGAAAGTTTCCTTTTTGGAGAATGATTTTTCCTTTTCATCTTCTTTCCATTCTCATCAACTTGTGGCTTCTTTTGGACTATTTTCTAAGTATAATTAGACTAGGATCTTCAACATTGCTCGGTCTCACGGAATGTTATCTTTTAAAGCTCAGAATCACTGGTCTTAACTGATTTTACAATTAAAACCCTGAAATAAATAAAAACAATAAAAAAATGTAAAATCACAAATAAACTACTATTAAGATAATAAAACATGCAAGTAAAGGGGTTAAAATGTATAACATTCAGCGCCTAACATCGATCATTCCCCAGTATTCAAAAGCATGATCAATGGTACAATGCCTCCGGTTAATTACGTAGTGAATGGGCATCGGCGTACAATGGGGTATTACCTATATGATGGTATATATCTTAAGCAGACAACTTTGATGTAGACCATCCCGCACCCAACAACTGCCAAAGAGAAATTATTTGCTAACAAACAAGAAGCTGTTAGGAATGAGGTAGAACGAGCGTTCGACGTGTTGTGGATGAGGTAGGCTATAACGCATCAACTGGTACTTTATTGGAATACAAAAGATTTAAACAAGGTAATGAGAACGTACATCATATTATACAATATGATCATTGAATACGAGTGCGAACACATTTTGTAATGGACACTTCCGACGGACGACCAATCTCCCTTCCATATTACATTCGAAACCCATCAATGTTGGCAGTACACATTTCCTCTTGCCTAAATAGGATTCGCAATAGATCAAACAATACCAATCTTAAGAGAGATCTCATAAAACATTTGTGGAATCAATTTGGTGACGAAGATGCATAAATTTATTATAATCGAATAAAATGTAATTTTCATATTGCTGATGAATAAAAAATATTTTAAAATTTTTTTGTTTCGATTACATTTTTTAAGAAACTTAAAGAAATTATTATTTACAGAAATACTCATTACATATATAAATAAAAATTACATTAGCTTCCCACAGATAGAAACGCAGATAGTTTTTAAAAAAAATTACATTACATAGCTTCACAAACTACCCCTTGTACTGAAACGTGCATAAATTTCATTTTGTTGATCAATGATCCATGCTTTTGCTGTTGCTGTTGGAGCATCATTTAGATTTTTAAGCATCATTTCTCTTTCGAAATCAATTTGCTTCTGCTCAAATTCTAACTTTTTTATTTATTTTTGCGCCTCAAATTTCAACCTTTTCAATTCTTTTTGTGCCTCAATGTCCATTTTTTTTGCACGTTCTTGCTCCAAGCCTAAATCGAATGTAGCTTTCAATTTCATTTTTTTTTAGATTCGACTACGAAGGCATTCATCAACTCACTTTGATGAGTAAAGTTTTTAAATTGTTCTAGAAATAAGTAATGTTGTACTTCCTCTTTGATTTTTTTGCGACCCTTCTTAGATGTTTTTCGTCCGGAGGTCGTGCAATACCATGCGAACTTTCAACACTAATTGCAGGCGAATTGTTGTCGCCAAGGTTTACTGAACCTGGTGTTGATACTCCAGGTGTTGACGGAGTAGATGGATTGGTTTGGACTGTTGACAAAGTAGGTTGAACAGTTTCTGGCCAATTTCCAGGCTCATTCATATCGATCTCCATTACTCTTTTGTTTTTCCCTTTATCATTGCTATTGGAAGTGGAATTCCATTTTGGCGAATTCTTTCAAAATACTCCAACAGTGATCCGACTTAAATGTTTCAATTTCTGACGTAGTAAATATATTTCTTGCTTCATTCAGTTATAAAAAATAAACAATAATTGAAATTAGTTAGATTGCCAATTAAAATAAATAATTTTTTTAAAAAAATTTACGAAGTAATACATTTCAATGTTGAAGCCACTAGGAGTATGATGTTGGATTTATTTGTAATATCCAGAAAATCTGTTAACAATTTTTTTTTAATGTGTGAGAAACGATTTTGCAAACCTGGTACATTTTGGGACGTCGTGCCCCTTGGTTGCCAAATAAAATTTTCATAGACTTGTTGCCAATACGTGATTTGCTTTTGATCTGAACCTGTTATTGGATCTTCCCCAATGTCAACCCATGCTTTGCATAATTCTTCATCTTCTTCAATGGACCAATTTTGTTTCGTACGCCTAGAATTATGTTGGGTTTGAGATGGTTGTGATTGAGAAGGTTGGGATTCAAATGGTTGGAACTGTGATGGTTAGGATTGAGATGGTTGGAACTGATATGGTTGGAATATTTGAGAATGTTGGAATTGGGGATGTGGTTGGAATATTTGAGAGTATTGGGGATGTGGTTGGAATATTTGAGAGTATTGGGGTTGAAATAGATTTTCGGATTGAAAAAAATTTGAAGAATCCAAATTATAAATGGATTGCGGTGGTAATTCGGAGCTATTAGATTGGTTGAGATGGGAGTGAAAGAATGGAGGTGGAGGATCCATGGAGATGAATGTCAAAGACAAATATTGAGAGTGAGAATTATTGAATATAATAATTAATATTTATAGAGTAAATAAAATAATCGTTTAAAAGAGCCGTTTTAAAAGAGCCGTTTCAAAGTTGCCAAACTGAAGAGACAAAACAGCTAATAAAAAATTAAACAAAATGATAGATATGATCCAAACACTTCTCTGTCTGTAGAGATGACCCTAGAGAAGACTTTGTGGGGGTCAAAAAAAGAACACTTTATTTTATCCGTATATCACCCCTCTTTCTCTACTTTTCACAATTCTTCTCTATTATTTGCTGAGCCTTAGATGCTCTTAGAAGGTTATTATTCCACATGGGATCAAGTTTTTTATAAGAGTAGGTAGCATCACTCAATAATTTAAGTTTTTGAATCGAATACAAGCAAGTGACTGCTTCAAAATGGTATCAAAACAAAGATTTAGTGCTTATCACAAATTACCCGAAGTAAGGATACCAAAATAGTCCCGGCCACTACCTTTTGGATTATTTTTGACCATGCTTATAAAATATATAAAAAAATGTTTATACATTAATTGAGTTTGTTATCAAATATAATAATAAAGTTTCATGATCTTCCTATATTGAGTTTTTGATGATTTTGGCCATGCTTATTAAAACAATTTTCATACACTAATTGAGTTTATTAGCAAATGTAGTAATAAAGTTTCATGATTTTCGTATATTGATTTTTAGATGATTTTGGTCATGCTTATTTAAAAAATATTTATAAACTAATTGAGTTTGTTATCAAATGCAGTAATAAAGTTTCATGATTTTCTTATATTGAATTTTGGATGATTTTGGACATGCTTATTTAAAAATATATTTATACAACAATTGAGTTTATTATCAGATATATTAATAAAGTTTTATGATTTTCTTATATTGATTTCTCATGTTGCTTTTATGTTGGAATTTTTTTCTCATTAATAATCTAAGAAAACAAAGAACTTATTTATTTATTTTAATAAGATAATTCATGTGGAATAAGGTGAAGAGGATAACCAACATTTAAGTAGAATAAAGTTATTAAAAATTTAAATATAATAGATGGAATGACAAGTGATAAAAATGTACATGGGAAGAAGGCAAAGTTGGGGGTGATAGAATTGAGTGAAATGCAGTGAAAATGGCGTGCGGTAAAGGAATTTAAACAAAGACTGAGAATAAAATATTCTACCTATTAGTATTAGTCTCATGATATGCATGAGATTTAAATTGTGAATTTACGCAGCGGAGGGTTAGAATTCACATCCAGTACATTAAATATGATTAATCTATACACTAAAAGTCTGTTTTATAATTCAGTCACGTTATGCCCGGCGAACAACGATTAACGATTTTGAATGAAAATAAGAAAAATGCTACTAGTATACTAAATCGGGATGGAGATGGACCGGGCCGTTGCCATTTCTAATTTTTTTTTTGTTTTTTGCATAGGAAGCTAGGCCTACCCTATTTCAAAATTCAAATATATATCATAGGCAAGAAAGTGACATACACTCGCTTTAAAATAGCGTGGTCAAGCAAGAATCTACCCTCCCCTCCCAATCCAACGCGGCAATATTCTTTTGAGTCCTTCCTCAACCCTCCCTCCCATTTTGAATTTGAAAAAAAACACCAACGTTGTTCAATTCTCTGTCCAATTGTATATATATATATATATATATAAATATCTAATTGCCAGAAAACGCTTGTCAGCGCGCTCCTCTGCAATTCAAATAAAAAATCAAGCGCAAAACACAAGAACAACAAACCCTAACCCTAACCACAAACACCCACTGAACGACACAATGATTCTAACAATCTTCTACATCTCTTCTATCATATCTCTCATTATTTTTCTCCTGTTTTGAACCTTGGATCCAAAATACCCAGTACAGTTGTTGGGTCACAGCTAAAAATCTTGTTTTGAATCGACATTTTCTTGTTAACAATGGAGGAAGAAGGGGGTTTGCAAAGCGTTTCAGATGGGTCTTGTTTGGTCTCCAGATCTGAGTCAAAGGTTCGCTTTTCCCTTCACTTTGATTGCTTTTTCGAGATAATTTTGTTTATTTATGATATTCTCATTGATTGTTATCATGGTTTGTTCCCTTCAGTTAATTGCGGCGCAGAAACGGAGTAGCAATGAATTTGGAGAAAAATCAGAAGTGGGTCATAAGCGAGTGAAAATGCGAGATCTTGAATCGATGCTCTCTTCCGAAGGTAAGTTTTTTTTTTTTTTTTTTTGAATTTTTAATATAGTTTGTTTCTAATTTTTTAGCCGGATTGGTTTGATTTGGGTATTCTATATACAAACACGCACATACAAACACACACATCTATATATGTATTTGGGTTGCATGATGCATCTAGTTTTATGAGAATGCAATGCATTGAGGCATCCAATGGAGACACTCCTACTGTACATCATTTTTGGGAAGAATTCCACTCTAGTATCGTTAAGTTTTAATTCCGAAGTTTCTTATGACTTAATTCGGAATGAAATAATAAATATACCTCGTGTTCCAAAATAATCATTTATGGTAGTCTTAAGAGAAAAAAGATGGTTCCGTGATATTGAAGAACAGATCTTAATTTATACAAGTTAATGAATTGGATTGATTGTCTCGACGCCTTTATAAAGAAATTAGTGATGTTTGGGGATCCTCATTTGCCTTGATTTGAATGGCATTAATGCTCATGTTAGTTTCTTTTGATTTTGTTTTCCCTGTAGCTTGAGAATTGTTCTTCAGTACCGAGTGATTTTTAAATTTGTACCACAGGATTTGATACCCATTATCCAAAATCTTCGAAAAACAAAGAAGCCAATGACTCTTTTCTCTTGGCTGAAGAAGAGAGGTCCCAAAACAACAAGGAGACTGTAACCATGAATTCAAATGTTGCTCAGGCAGGAAGAAGAGGAAGGGACACCTTACCACCACCTGTTGATCCTTTCCCCAGATCCCTTGATCTTAATATCAAAGTTTGTGTTCCAAACAGTTCAGCAGGTGATCATACTGCATCATCTACTAATAAATTGTCCTCATGTGTGAAACATGACATTAATTTAGTAACCTCAAGGGGTTTTGGTTTGGATCTTAATGCAGAAGATGTTTCTAGCTCAGTCAACCGAGATCCGTTTTATCCTTACAAAAATCTTGAACATTTGAAAATGAGAGATGCTTCAGAGTGTGGGAGTACCACTGGCCCATCAGAGGAGAAAGATCCAATGAGAGTATGGAAAGAAATGAAGCAAAATGGTTTCATGTCACAAAATGGTTCCATGTCATCTTCTCATGGAGGCATACCAGTGCCGAAGCAGCGTGGGAGGAAAAGTAAAAATGATGGACTTAAGAAAAAGATGGAGCTTGCCAAGAGAGAACAGGTTGACAGGTTTGCAAAGATTGCTGCTCCAAGTGGACTGCTGAATGATTTGAACCCTGGGATCATAAACCACGTGAGAAACAGTAAGCAGGTTCATTCAATAATAGAGGCTCTAGTAAGGTCTGAAAAACTTGATAATCGCCACATTGGAAGCAAACAGGGAATTCAAATGAAGAGTGGAACTAAAGACATTAGTGAGAGGAAAAAGGACTTGGAAAATGTGAATGGATCAGGAATGAATCGATACAATCTTTCTCATGATGATGAATCCTTGTATACCTTATCAGAGAGCCAGCAAACAAGAGGGTGCTCAATTTCTTTTTGTGAATCAGAAAACTTGATTTCAGAGCGAAGGTGGGGAGATGGTGATTCTAGCATGGTGGGCAGAAGGGTTTTTGGTCATACTTTTTGTCCCTCACATTCCAACCCAGACACCGAGGGTGATATACTTGCGCTGAAGTTGTCATCATCTACAACCATGGCATCAGAGATTACCAGCTCTTTATCTAATGAGGAGTCAGGGAACCTGACCAGTGTTTCCTCTCTTTCTGTTAAAGGTGAGAGTTCAGATTCTAATCTAATATGCTACCTTCTACATATTAATTCACTTGCTCCATGCCACTTAATGAAGTTCTATAAAATAGTAAGGAATGGTTAAAAGAGAAATTTCTTACTTTTTTGAGGAGGCTAATGAAAAAAATGCTTAATTTTAGAACAGGATAATTCTGTACAAAGAAGAACTTTCATCAGTAATTGATAGGTTATGAAAGCATACGTCAAATTTTATTTGAACTTTACCGTCATGAAATAGTTGAAACTTTTATGGTTCTTTGCATTTATAAGTGGTAGAAATTATATCTCAAGCTGATAAACAGCTCCTTTGATTGTCAGCTGCTAATGTAGCTTCTCAATGGTTGGAACTTCTTTTTCAAGACATTAAAGGACGGGTTTTAGGTAATGGTCTGCTTGGTCTAATATCACTGTAGGTTGTTGGTAGGTGAGAAATTCTAATATCTGTATGGTTATGTGGTTTTTTCTGTACTTGAAGCACTGCGGCGCAGTAAGAAAAGGGTTCGTGCCGTTATTAATACGGAATTGCCTTTCCTAATGTCAAGAGAGTTCTCGTCTAATCAAGAGAATGATCCATATGTTATGAAAATTTCCGCTGGTGGATGCTCAGACATTGCAACTGCTGACATGCATCGAGCAAGGTGGGGTGCTCTATTTGATCAGATGGATAAAGCACTTTCTGAAGAAGAGAAACAATTGGTTAGTCTACTACAATATAGTGTTCTGTTTTATTCCACAGTTTCTAGAAGAAGACATTTTGGGAATATTTTAAAATGACAACGTTGTCTTACCTTCAGCCCTGTGGGCTGGGTGCATGACTGTCAGTAGACCTAGAATATATAATTTGAATTTTTTTAACAAAAAGTATTTAGATCTATATTAAGTAAAATCAGATCATTATGATAGCTTGATATGCCATGTTATTTGGTAGAGAGCATTGAAGGTAAAGGAGATGCCAACACTTTCATTAACAGCTGTTTTAGTGATGGATGCCGCTTGAATATATATATAACGGGCTAGTCATGAATATGAAAATCTAAACAGGAAATTAGCTTTACAAAGCTTCAATTTCCTTTTTCGTTGGTTGTCCAACTTTGTTTTATCATTTCATAACTCATTGATGAGTATCATTTTAACCTTTCCATCTAAGAATCTATCAGGAAGGGCTCTTTAAAAGATGATTTTATGAGCAATTCTTTCATTTGGGACATTTTGGGCATAGGCGTCATATAGTTATAGGGAATGATGCTTCTTATGGTATTATTATTCAACCGTTTCTCTCTCTCTCTCTCTCTCTAAAAAGTATTACCGTTGTATGGTAGAACAACCAACAAAAATTTTACCTGCCTTCACACAATTTTTTCTTGTCCATTTTTCCGGCAAGTAATTTTTTTTAAGGTTAGCTGAACTTCTTCTCTTCTTTTTCTCATCACTATTTTCAGGAAAGTTGGTTGAGCCAAGTAAGAGAAATGCAGTTGCACTGTGAAAGGGGCCTTCAACATTATCACATTGCAGCAAATGGTTTGCAACAGCTGGGAACATTCCAAAACGATTCCAAGTAAAGCTTTTATTTTCTTTAAAGATAACAAAATGTGGTAATTGCATTTGCTGTGATAAATGTATCATACTTTTTATTTAATGGATATGCTTCAACTGTTTATAAAACTTATTTTATTCCGACAGATACAGTGATTTGTTCTTACCTTTGAATTGAATATGCATGAAAAATAATTGCAACTAATAATCTTGAAATATACTTAGGTTTTTTTTTTGCAAAACTCTAAAGACAAAAGAGCAAAAGTTGGTAATGCAGTATGACCCTAGAGACTTTGTGGAGTTTTTCATTTTTTTTCAGTTGTCATGGATATATGATCACATTTATAATGTAAAAAAAATGAAATAAAATCTGGACTACTTCACGGGTTAGTTGTCGTTCCCCATAAAATAGAGAACACAGTCAAAGATCCTGTTCGCATCAAAAGAAATTTTTTTTTTTTTTCCCCTCATTGCTGTTTTGAACCCAAAAGTAGCACCACTCTCTTAGCCATGAGCAGCAACAATTAACTCTTTGCCTTCCATAATGCTTTAGAAACAAGCATTTTTGTTATTGCCGATCATATTTCTCATTGGATCACCTCCATAATTGGTGCCTCTTGAAAAGCTGTGCCATCATTGAACATTTTAATTAACAATAAGGATACTGCATAATTCGGTGTTCACTTTTAATTAAACCTAAATCGCTGCAAAGATAACACCAATTTGTGGAAATTTACAGTTGAATAAAACTAAGACTCCAATGATGAAATATTCATTAGACCTGAGCCACTAAGTAAGTTGAATTACTATGGGAATATGATGAAAATTACATTTCAATCACAAAATAAAAATGAAAAATGGATGGAATTTAATTCATTTACGAATTTGTTTTATATTGTTTTGATACAAGTGTCATGTTTAGATATTTGACTTACAGGGGTAGTTCAGAAGTTAAGATCTTCATTTCTTTGGAATCTATGGGAGAAAGATATGAAAGAAAGGACATAATTACTGTTTAAAATTTCTTGACATGTTAATATGCTAACAAATATAAGTGTCTATATAAACTTTAAGTAGTGTTCTAATATAAGTGTCTATATGTAGTGATAATATATCACTATCATCTTCAATGACCTATTTCTGTCTTCTTTAAAATGTTACTTATTGCTTGAAATTATCAATGTAGTGAAAAATCTTTATCATATTGTCCGTGATGTTGCCTTCGTTTTGTTATTTGTTACACTTTATAACATGCTGTATTCATTAAATAAAGCCTTATTGTTGAAGTTTGTGAATTCGACGGGGATTGACTTCACAGACACTTTCACCACATACTCATTTTGGATGAAGTTCCATGATTGCAGTATTACAAGTGTTTTTGGTTTTTAAGCATTACTTAATATATGCCAAGTTTCAGTGACAATTTGCACCTGTTATATATATATTTTAACATCAATATATGTATGTAAGCATTTTGACATCTTGAGAAATCTATTGATTGCTCATTCCTCCAATTAAGTATACCTTTAAAAAGTCTGAGTATCGTTGGGACCATTTTGCAATGTGTACTCAAAAGGGATATGAATAATTTTGCATTGCATCATATATACTTGCCGAGTCTTGTGATTCTAGTTACGGTTCTGTTGTTTGATTCTGCATTTCCTTTGAAGCTAACAGTTCCTAAATTGTGTACAATTCTGTCATCTTCTTTGTCGTGCAGATCCGAGAGAGCAGATCATTTAGAAAGGGAAATGGCTGTTAGGGCAGCTGCAGCTTCCATATATTCAACTTGCAACTTTCTATTGTCAATGGAAAATCTACCCAGTTGCTGATTGTTCAACTCCCAGTTGCACCTAATGTCAACCTTTTCCATTACATTGAACATTTTTCCTGATTCTAATATTTTTGATCTCCATGTGCATTTAGTAAATTACTAACTAGGACTGTTCAAGAAGCTCTGTGGAGTTGTTGAGTTTGTTGATGTATTTCTTTTTTCCTGGTGAAAGGTAATAGATGTAATACTAGAAGTTGAGTTCATTTATAATTCAATTTTATTTTTTTCAGACTTCATAAGATTGGAGGCCAAACCTGTTTGTTAGAAAGGGTTGTGTGAAAAAATATAGAGTCATCTAGTATTGACTTCTCATTGATTGATGAAACCTCATTTAGCTGATGTTTTATATTATATGTTGGTTCTCAAAAGCAAGAAAATTGCTTTCTTCTAGGATGGCTAAGGGCTGAATAGTGAAAGAAGATTTAACTCATTCAATTAGGCCACCGTGCACCCAGGTTGGAAATAATATCTAGTCATAAATTAACTTCATTCTAAAATGACATTCGAGCCCATTTATTTTCAAGAATAAGATGATCACAACATTTTTCAGTATTTTCCCCTATGTTTGGGGTACTGAATCGGTTTTCACCAAATTTTTTAGGTTTTAATTTTACCCATGTTTAGGGGTATTGAATCGATTTTTACTAAAATTTTCAGATTTTAATTCCGAAGTCACAATTTGGTGCGCCCAAACTTTTAACATTTACAATCATCATTCTTCAATGTTTCCATCATGGTTACACTTGTAATAGTCCAAATTCAGTTGGAAAATTGTTTCCAAATGGAAATCCTGGAATCCACTTGCCATAGTCAAGTTTTTAATTGGTTTTTTACAGACTATTTTTTAAAAAATTGGGTGGAAAATGCAGAAACTAAAAATGTTTGAAAATTGAACTCAAAGTATCTTGTGTACACGCATCAGTTAAAATACAAATGCTGTAGCTCAGATGATAAAAGCAAAATTGATCACATATTTGTTCTTATCTAAAACCTCATTCTATGGTTTCTCAAATCACGTGACAAGCTTCTACAATTTACAGGGTCAAACATGACGGGCGTGTGAAAATTACAACAGTAATATTTACAAGAAGAAAACATCCGGATCAATGTAACAAGATTAAGATAGTGGTGACGTGGCATATTGGCCTCAAATTGTAACTGCTAATTTGGGAGATTATTCACTGCAACTCTAGAGCCAGTTTGGTGTCATCTTGCTTGACATTGGTTTTGGAGATGGATCATCAGAAACCTTCGCAAGTGAGCGATACTGCAACTTCACACTCTCTGCATTGTCCAATGTCTTCACAACATACCTGAATGGCTTTTGTATTAGTAAAGATGAATCTAATTGACACTGGCAGGATTCCTTGAGCTAAAGAAATAATTCCAAGGACAACAGGGTGAGCAATATTACAAACTATAAAGCATGCAGGTAAAAAACCAAACCCATCTGAAGAAAAAATACACACACACACACACACTCATCTCAGTACTCATTAGTCATCACAATGACACAAAGGCTTTAATAATAAAGTATTTCTCTCTCTCTCTCACACACGCACACACGCACAAGGAAAAAAAAGTGGCTGCAGTCTAAATCCAGGACCTTGTCTTTCTTCTGTCCACAATGTTTCTCATCTTAGTCGTCTCTTTTTTCATTCAAACCCAGAACATTTACCATAGCTTGCAATCATTTACTCCGACAATATATCAAAAAGACTGCTAGCCTAACCCAAGTGACTGGAAGATGCAATTGAGACTAAAAGCTGAACTTTCAGGGCTACAGCACCTGTAAACAAGGTTGTATTCCATATCATAACATACAAACAACATCCAACCATCCATTCCAGGTTTGTCCGAGAAATACACGTGTCTATATGTGCATCAAAATAAGCCCTCGGACTTTGGCTCAGTTGGTAATGGGGTTGGGTAGGTCTTAGATTAAAATATTGCCTTAAATATAGAGAGGAAAAGAAACATAAGCATAAAAAATTGCAAGCTCTTTGTACAGCCCTATGAATAACAGAATAAGTCATGGCACCACAGAAAGTGATCATGATTATTCATCTCATGAGCCCATCTTGGTAATTAAATCTACAAAAACCTATCAAGGTTGATATGAACTTCTGTATATCTATCCAGTAGATGGAACTATTTCTTGGTTGGTCCTAATTTCTACTACTCTTTTCTCTCCAGCAAACACAAAGAACAAGGCTACTTATATCTAAATAGAGAAACCTAGATAAAATCCACACTAAAATAAAGGATTTCCAACCCCGACTCCCATCCCTTGAAGGAAGAGAGAAGGCCGGGGTGGTGTTTGTGTGTGTGTGTGTGTGTGTTTGGGGGGGGGGGGGGTTTGGCAAGCCATAAAGATTCAGACCAGTTCACAAGATTACTAATGCCATTTATCTCAAATTTCTGAAACCAAAAAGATAATGTGATCGAAATTAAAAAGGAATTCAATTTCATCAATATGTATAGAGAAAATTTACTGAAACCAACTAGACAACATTAGGTGAATAACCATGAAATAGAACCGTGCAAGAGTTGCAGAAGAAGTGGATCACATCACGAAAAATTGATAAATCAGCAAATCGAAAGCTTCAAACTTATTATAGGTAGAAGAGAAAAATGACTAACCATCCATTCAAGCATTGAGTAGTTACAACAGCTTCCCGTCCAACAAAACGCTGTGGTGTCCTCTTGTTGCCCTGATTCAATTTATCTTTAATTAGTAATTTCAACTTTTAATGCTAATCAAGCACAGGAAACGAAACTCAGTAATCTGTTTTATTTATTATTATTATTATAAAAGAAAATAAAAACCTTTATAATAACCCGATCAGCCACATTGAATGGAAACTGAACACCTTTACCGCGAGGATGATCCAGGAACATTGGAATGCTATAATTTCCCTTCTCCTACAGAGATCAGAAATAAATATTTGAAAGCATTAAGAATAATTTGAAGAACATCTGTTTCTGGAAGGAAGGTCCACAAAATTGAACCGGGGGGGGTGGTGGTTTGTAAGAACAAAAGGAATTGCACAAGCTGAAAAAACAGTTACACTATATTTCAAGTAGGATTCACAAAATGGACAAGTTAATGCAACCAAAAAATAGTCAAAATCCAGTTACGTGGTGAGGGGCTGTTCAATATATGGATAGGCTACCCACCAGCGAATAAGAACCATAGGTTGGCCACTATAATACACTATAAGTTGTAGCCAAACTTTTTATCTGAATATCCATGTTCCAGACCAACTTATACTCTTAAAAATTAGGATGTCACACACTTTGGGACATGAAAATACCAACCGGATCAAATCTCTCTCTCCTTCTTTTGGATGGACGCACATGTAACTCTTCTTCCCGTAGGAATGCCTGCACAGCAGCTTGGAGAGCTATAAAGGGGAAAAGGAAAATGTTAGAAAAGAGAAAAAAAAAAATTTTGCACTTTTTACTCCTTAGTCTAACTAATTTCTAAAAAAATGGGCTCCCCTAAGATTGCAAATTTGTGATTTAAAATAAAACTGTGAAGTAGTATTCTCAATCTGCAGTCTATATGATTTATTTTTAAACTAAGCTTAATTTTCATTGCATATTTATCCCCAATAAAAAACACTCTTCTATTTTTCCAAAGACAGAAAAACAAGGGCCAGGACACAAAAATAATATAAAAGAGTGACATTTTGTTAATGAGGAATATGAAAGAGGTGGCACGATACTGGCCAAAAGAAGCCTGTTTCTGAACTTAGTAGTATAAACAAGATACCATGCAATGGTGAAGCCGGCAAAAAAGAAATGACAAGCCTACTGCCGTACCACACAGTGAAAATTCAAAGCTTCAGCTGTGACAGAGTAACTGGCCAAGGCAAATATATGATACCAGGAACCCTATGTGTGATTGGCCCTTTGTTAACTTTGAAAAGAACTATAAATGATTAGGCCAGGATTAAAACCCTTTTGGCAGGTTTACCATAATTGGTTCATTCCCCAGCCTCATTAGGTGTATACTACACGCTTTTCTTGGTCTTGACCTTAGACGCTTAGAAACTCAATTCTTTAGCACTTGTAGAGTTTTTCAAGCTTTTGTTTCTCCCTTAGGTGGTTTGTACCAGTTAAGCCTCGTTGAAATTTCGATCTTAATTTTTAACTACAGAAACAAATAAAGAAGCAAAACTAATAAAAGAAGACCCAGAAAACTTGTTAAAATGAAACAGCTGTCGTTGCCACTGTCCCCCAATCAGAGCTGTTGCCTCTATCCTCATGGACCTCACCCTTCAAGGACGTGTTTCGATGTAAATTATACTCACTTTGGACAAATCCATTTCTTTTAGTTTGATTTTATATATTTAGATGAATAAACTTCTTGCACATGTAGTGGTTTGTCATATTTTGTATTTTAACATATCAAATAATTTGTACATTTTGCACAAAAAATCCAGACAAAAGAGGAGCATCCTAGTTATGTTGCCTGGTAGGACATTAGAAATAACTTGCCGCAAACAAAAGAACATGAAGAGAGTATTCAATTTTGCAGTAAGTGCATATCAGTGATGTTCAATAATAACTGAATATGTTACTTACAAAGATTTGGAGCCACCAAGTCTTCTGATACTGCTTGAGAACAAGTGTAGCAAGCTTTCTGAAAATGTCTCACAAGAAAAAAAGTCAAAACATTATTTGAACATTAATCAGAGTAATTTGCTAGTGATACACTAAACAAAAAACAGAACAACTCCTGTACTTGAGTGCCAGGTAATTACATTGTTTTCTAGAAATTGAGTCTTTTATGCAAACCAGAAAAAGGGAAAAGGAAAAGAAAGGAAAAAAAACACTACAACAACAACACAAGACAAGATTTTGTATCATCGCTTATTCTCTGTAGATATAATTAGCATAAATTTAAGCATAAAAACATGGCACACCCCCATGCATAATCTGAACATGAAAAACACTTGTTCGTAAGTATTATAGCATTATAGATAAATGCACACATAATGCACTCCAAGCATGATCTCAATTTCAGGTAATGTGCAAGAGAAACCATTTAAAGATGGTGCTTCTTTTATATACAGCAACAAAATGTACCAAGCTCACACAACGTAGAAAACTAGTCATTTACAGAGGGCTGCTTAATATATACAAGTGTATGTATACTTCAGATAAACATTTTGAAAAAATGGAAAAACATAATCATAAATTAAGTGAAAGACTTATATGAGAATGTATGTACAAAAGTATGCAGTAAATTTCATAAGGCTCTACCAATCCACATAGACGTGCACTTCCTCTACGTGGTTTATATATCACCTTTAGATAGTAGACCTCAAAACTAACCCAGCAGCAAACAAATTATCATCAAGCCAAATACTTATAACTGAAATGATAAATTCACCAAATAAGAATTTTTTATTTGCCAGAGACTCACCATTCTAATAACATGTGGTATTCCACCACCTCCAAAGGAATGCCCACAAGGCAATATCACTGCATCATCCATAAGCTCTCCTCTGTATGAGCAGAAAATAATAACAGTTTAATCAATAAAATTAACAGCCAATAATAAGTTGATCACTTATACAACAGCAAATACACACATTTCTTGACCTTTTAAATAATAAGCAATTGATAATAGCAATAAATGCCTAACAGAAAGATTACCAATAAAACTATATGGCGAATTAATCCCAATCTTGACTAGAAAGAAACAAAGAAGTCCCTCAACCTATTTGTTAAAGAAGTAGACATGATAGGTGGTATAATAGAACGGCTATACCATCCAGCTAAGAGGCATATCTAGATATTGAATTTTTTGAGTTTCAGAAGTTTAGCCACCTGAAGATTACCAGCACAATTGCCTCTCTTTTACATGGTAGACTTGAGAGCAAACCAGTTTTTTCTCAGTCAATTTAAAGAAGCTGTGAATGGACTTCTAAATTAACATAATAGAAATTAACTCCAACTACATCTAAACAGTTTGTTATTCAATTCAACTCAATTATGTCTTATTGCAGCTATTTAGAGAACATACATATTTTTTTACTTTAAAAAAAAATACAATTTTTTCAATTCAATTCTGATACTTGTTCTTCATTCAATCATAAGCAATTGGGTTTATTCACTAATTAGATTTGATAATTTGAATTAGCATACTGTATATCATAATATCTATCTACATGTATATATACGGATGTATATATTTGGTATGTATACACACCCATGCATGTATTTGCTACAATGAAGACAGCCAAGTAGAAAAAAAAACTGTTTGTGAAAGAGTAAACCAATGCAACGTGCTTGAAACAAGCTAGACATGGCCAATGCTCATCCACATACGAGAGCAAGTATTATACTTTCTAACATGCAGCCATGTTATATTTTTCTCTTTGTCCCACATCCACCTTTCCACCCCCTTCCAATCCCCAACTGATGTCATATTACACCCAAAATCAATTAGCACGGAAATTCACTATCATGCATTTTAATTCTAATTTATCAGTAAGCTGTAACTTGTAAGGAGGCAACCTTACGGATGATTCTCACTGTGTCTCCAACACTGAGAGGAACAAAATTGATACTAGTTTAATATAAACTAATTAAAAGCTTCCCTAACATTCATCTGGATGAACCATCTCAGGTGAAGCTAAAATTTCAGATTTCATAAAATGAATAACCACATATGTTAGCAGTCAATTGCATGCTAAATTGATATATTACACACGGATAAACACACACACACACACATGTGTAAAATCAGTAACAAATTTTAAGAGAAACTCACGTCAGAGGATCAGAGAGAATGACCCTCAAAGATTCTCCAGACTCACATGAGTAAGAACCGTCCTTTCTTCCACTAAACCCACAACCATTTTCAACCATTGTACCCTTCTGCCCACTGGCTGACCCCTCTGGGCCCTGCAGGTACTGTGAATAGAACAAATTGCCATCAGGGTCCGCAATTTTAACAGCATTCTGGTACTGGCTGACTCTTCCTTGTTGATCATTCACACTAGGACTAGCTCTTGTATTATTGTTAGTATTATTTTCACATTGGACAATGTGATCATCCTTCATCATGACTTCCCTACTTGAGGCGACTGTCACAAATTAACAGTAAATCAACACCTCAAAACACCAACAATTTCGAAACTTGAAGAACGAATCATTCTTGCTTACCAATTTTACCAACACTGCTATGTCCACTAGTGTTGTTGTTCTTACTATTATTACCACCACCCACAACAACAATTCCCTCAATCTCACCATCATCGCCTTCATCTGCCTCCTCCTCCTCGTCGTCTTCATCATCATCATCATCCTCGTCCTCGTCCGAACCATCTCCGCTTGGTGTCGTCGACGCCCTTCCATTTCCGTCCCAATTCCGATTCTCTTGATGCTCCTGCCGATTCTGCGGGAGGTCTGCAAACATATTTCGGCGGAATTCCGCTGCTTGAGGTTGAAAAAACCTCTCGTCGATGAAGCCGCTGAGCTCACGGGTCTTCGGACCGACATCGCCGACGCGGCGTTGCGGTGCACCGCAGTTGAACCGGAGGTTCTCGTCCTGGAACCCCAACTGTGAGTTCAATCCATTATCGAGTCTCTGTGTTGGTACTAAACCGATATTTTCAGAGGTCATTTTGGTCAAAAACCCAAAACCCTAGCCTTATTACAATTTCGATCCGAGAGAAATTGAGGTGTGATTTGAAGTTTAGGGAGAAAGAGTAGGGCACAGGGATTGTAGATGTGAACCCATTTTGTTGATATTGGAGAGGTTTAACAAGAGGGTGATTTGAGGGCATAGAGAAATTAGGGTTAGAAATAGGGATCAACTGTACATGCTTTGTTGTTGCGTCATTGAGAAATGTCGTTGATCTGAGAGAGAGAGAGAGAGAGTGAGTGAATTCCCGGGTTTTCGTTTTTAGTGTGTGAGAAAGAGGTTGACGAAGCAAATGGAGGAAAAACGGCATCGTGTGGTTCGATGAAGTGGAATTATTGTTATTATTATTATTATTATTATTAGGGTAAATTGCATTAACACCAATGAGGTTTCAAAAGTTTGCATTGACACCCTGAAGACCTTTGACTCGGATAAATAACTATTTAGTCCTTTGACTCGTCAACGAACACACGAAAGGAACAATCTAACCTATTCATCTCTACACACAATACTCTTTTCTCACTGTACCAATACTACTTCATCCTCAAACACCACAACCACCACCACCACCGCCACACCCAGACACCCGCCACAATAGAAAGAAAAATAAAAACAGCCTCAAAAGCCACACTATTACCACCATAACCAAGCACTACCATCACCAACACAACCAGACACTACCACCATAACCAGACACTACCATTACCACCACAATAGACAAAAAAATAGAAATAATCCCAAACAGACACCGCCACAATAGGAAAAGAAAAATAGAAACAACCCAAGCAACACCACCACCTCAATAAAAAATATAAACAGCCCCAACACTGCAACCAGGGATTTTTTTTTGAAATAGCCATGGCCAACCCAACACCACCACGGGTGATGGCCATTGCTGCCCAATGGGAGATCGACGGCAGAGAGAACTCTTCGGTGAAGGCACGTATCATGGGCCCTCAGTGCACCCAACAAACTCACGCCCTGCAAATTTGTGTTGCACGTTGAATTGGGTTCGACTAGCGGTTCTCGTAGTTTAATTTTGTTTGTCGTGAGTTTGATTGAAATTTGGGTCAGATCGTTATAGTGGCGGTGAAATATATATACACACACACACACACAAATTTTGAGTCTGCAAATAAAGAAGGAAATAGTGGAACAAATAGAATTTTTATTAATTGTCAATAAAAGAAAGAGAGTAGAATCCTCTGTAATATTCTTTACAAAAGTATAAAATCATTTGTTTTGATATCATTTGTTGGTATTCAAGGGCTGCACGAGCTTGAGCTTGAGTTTGAGCTTGAACCACCGTGGAACTTCGATGAAGATCTTCGTCTTCAGATTTGGGTGTTGTGGATGAATGTCGGCAGAGTTTCTCTATTTTTCTCTAGAATTATGAATTTCTGGATCCCTTTCTTCCTCCCTCCATGCCTATATTTATATACTTCTTGAATGAATAGGATGATGACACGTGTTTTTCTTGATAAACACACAATCATAATAATATGTATTTTATTATTATTATTATATTGTGATAATTATCCAATCATCTTTTTATTTAACTAACTAGATCGGACTAGTTAAATAATTTAAATTGACCAAATTTGGGCTAATTGAATAATTTAAACAAACATAATACCCATATTTTATGGGCAAATTTGCCAAGGAAAAACCCATGAAATTTTAGTGCCTGCAATATATGTTTGAGGCTTTAATATAGGTTTCATCGTCTAGTTCTCAATTATTTTAAATCTTTGTTAGGGTGTTCTATGTTGTGATGGAGGTGGCTATTATAGGTGGTGGTGAGAATGGATCGGGAGTGGTGGAAGTGGCAATGGTGGGTAGTGGTGAGTGGGGCGAGAAAGAAAGACGGGATGTGTAACAACCCACTCCACCATATGGTATGGTATTGTCTGCTTTTGGCTTGAGCCCGCATTGTTTTGTTCTTGAGTTTTATCCCCAAAAGACCTCATACTAATTGAAGTATACAAATCCTACATATATAGCATATTCCCTTTCCATACCTAGGCGATGTATATGTTTGTTTAAATTATTATTAAACAAACATATTATTACACAATATGTTTCAAAAGTTTGCATTGACACCCTGAAGACCTTTGACTCGGATAAATAACTATTTAGTCCTTTGACTCGTCAACGAACACATGAAAGGAACAATCTAACCTATTCATCTCTACACACAATACTCTTTTCTCACTGTACCAATACTACTTCATCCTCAAACACCACAACCACCACCACCACCGCCACACCCAGACACCCGCCACAATAGAAAGAAAAATAAAAACAGCCTCAAAAGCCACACTATTACCACCATAACCAAGCACTACCATCACCAACACAACCAGACACTACCACCATAACCAGACACTACCATTACCACCACAATAGACAAAAAAATAGAAATAATCCCAAACAGACACCGCCACAATAGGAAAAGAAAAATAGAAACAACCCAAGCAACACCACCACCTCAATAAAAAATATAAACAGCCCCAACACTGCAACCAGGGATTTTTTTTTGAAATAGCCATGGCCAACCCAACACCACCACGGGTGATGGCCATTGCTGCCCAATGGGAGATCGACGGCAGAGAGAACTCTTCGGTGAAGGCACGTATCATGGGCCCTCAGTGCACCCAACAAACTCACGCCCTGCAAATTTGTGTTGCACGTTGAATTGGGTTCGACTAGCGGTTCTCGTAGTTTAATTTTGTTTGTCGTGAGTTTGATTGAAATTTGGGTCAGATCGTTATAGTGGCGGTGAAATATATATACACACACACACACACAAATTTTGAGTCTGCAAATAAAGAAGGAAATAGTGGAACAAATAGAATTTTTATTAATTGTCAATAAAAGAAAGAGAGTAGAATCCTCTGTAATATTCTTTACAAAAGTATAAAATCATTTGTTTTGATATCATTTGTTGGTATTCAAGGGCTGCACGAGCTTGAGCTTGAGTTTGAGCTTGAACCACCGTGGAACTTCGATGAAGATCTTCGTCTTCAGATTTGGGTGTTGTGGATGAATGTCGGCAGAGTTTCTCTATTTTTCTCTAGAATTATGAATTTCTGGATCCCTTTCTTCCTCCCTCCATGCCTATATTTATATACTTCTTGAATGAATAGGATGATGACACGTGTTTTTCTTGATAAACACACAATCATAATAATATGTATTTTATTATTATTATTATATTGTGATAATTATCCAATCATCTTTTTATTTAACTAACTAGATCGGACTAGTTAAATAATTTAAATTGACCAAATTTGGGCTAATTGAATAATTTAAACAAACATAATACCCATATTTTATGGGCAAATTTGCCAAGGAAAAACCCATGAAATTTTAGTGCCTGCAATATATGTTTGAGGCTTTAATATAGGTTTCATCGTCTAGTTCTCAATTATTTTAAATCTTTGTTAGGGTGTTCTATGTTGTGATGGAGGTGGCTATTATAGGTGGTGGTGAGAATGGATCGGGAGTGGTGGAAGTGGCAATGGTGGGTAGTGGTGAGTGGGGCGAGAAAGAAAGACGGGATGTGTAACAACCCACTCCACCATATGGTATGGTATTGTCTGCTTTTGGCTTGAGCCCGCATTGTTTTGTTCTTGAGTTTTATCCCCAAAAGACCTCATACTAATTGAAGTATACAAATCCTACATATATAGCATATTCCCTTTCCATACCTAGGCGATGTGAGATTGTGCACATGTAGCTCGCCTAATGTGGTAGCCTGCGAGTGCCTCTTGCACCTGCCTACTACACACCCGCCCACAAGGTCGCCACGATCACCCCCAATTGGGGCCAAATAACGCGTGTTAAAGCTATGATGATTATGAATCTACCAGAACTCCAAAGTTAAATGTGCTTAACCTGGAGTAGTACCAGGATGGGTAACCTCTTAAGAAGTCTCTGATTCGAGAGAACCAAAAGTGGATAATATTGTGTCTGGGAAGGGTGAGGACGTTACAAATGATATCAAAGCTTGACACAGCTGGAAGTAGGCCGACGGGGATGTCGGGCTTATTAGGGGGGTAGATTGTGGCGACCTTGTGGGCGGGTGTGCCATGGGCGAGTGTAAGAGGCACTAACAGGTTACCACACTCGATGAGCTACAGGTGCACAGTCCCACATCGCCTGGTTAAGGGAAATGTGAAGTGTTTATATGTGGTGGTATTATCTCTAATCGGTAGGAGACATTTTGGGATAAAGCCTATGAGGAAAACTATGCGGGCCAGGCTTAAAACGGACAATATCATATCATGTAGTGGAATGAATCGTTATACGGTGGCGGTAGGTTGTGGTGGCGACTCGAGAGTTATTTTTCTCTTTTATGGTTCTTTGCAATTATGGTTAGTTTAGTTTAGGGCTAAATGTACCGTCAAGGATGGCTACTTTGGTCATTTTACAAGATTGATATTAAAAGTTTAGGGGCATTTATGACTTTTTAATTGAGAAGGAATGTTAATGTAAAAAAAGACATTAATGCTGAGGGGCGATGGCTAAAATTTCAAGGAATATTAGTGCAATTTACCCTTATTATTATTTTAACAAAATTGAATTATTGATTTGGTGAATGTTCTAATTTTAATTTGGTATCAAAGTGGGTCCCAACCTTAATCTATTACTATCACGCTAAGCACCTCGGTGGGGTCGTGTTTCGGTCATAACCTTATCCTTTTACAATTAGAGTTAACGGCTATGCATGGCGGGAGAGAATGTCATGCTTTTTTGTCTCACGTGGAATAGCTTAAAATAGGGAAGGCCTTGACTCTTGAGCTTGTAAGATTAAGCGGACAATATTAGCTGATAGCTTAAAGCCTTACACTTTTCGATAGGGTTATAGGCAAATATCCTATTACATGTTATAAAAAGGTAATTCTTATTTATAAAAAAAAAAAATTGAAATATATTATTGTCTATTAAAATATTAAAATAATTAGTTAATTTAATTAATTATTTAAAATTAATTATAATATATTATATTCATGTTTAGATTTTCAGCTTCAAGTGTCATTGTAGTGGTTCTCTCTACAGTCATTAATAGTTTTAGCTTGGTGATAAACAAATTAGGGACCAAGTTAAATGCTATCCTTAAAAAAATTAAATAAATAATCAAAGAGGCTTTTGAGTCAATTATAATCTAATACTACAAAGATGTTCATAAATTCTTGTTAACTGCTTTAGTTCAATCACTTGATTGTTTTTCAATACGAAATACTTATTCAGTGAGATATTAGGATGACTGAC